TAGACAATGTCAAAGAAAATCACATTGTCAATATTGGTTTAAAATATAACTTCACCGTTCTATATGAAATTCAAATCGACCCTCTTTACCTTAAGTCTTCCAGTGATTGGTTATAAGTGATTGCTTTCCTTCTCCACCATTGGCCTCGGCAGGAGAAACTCTAATCAAAGATGTTCTTAAGCGTTTTAGTAAGAACCATTTCTTAAGTCCAGGGACTGTCCTTATCACTCTGCATGATTCAGAAGTGCACCCTTTGGCTCATATGGGCTTAAAAAGATGTAAATTCCACATGAGAGATACCTCATAGTGGATTATTTTGAATCTAATGAAGGAAAGGTTTAGTCAGATTCCATCCAATAAGATAAAAGAGGCACCTGAAATGACTAACGGCACAGGATTTGAAAAATAGAATCCTATGCCATCTCTGGACTTGCTGTGCTACAGAAGACACTGATGAATAAATGTGTACTGGCACCCAAATCTTACATTCATTGTAAGCAAGACTTCATTAAAAGTTATTCCATCCATCCATTTTCTTGCACTTATCAAAGGTTTGGTAGCAGTGGAAACAAGCGCATTAAGTCAACCCAGACTTTCCTCTCTCCAGCTCCTCTTGGGGGATTCTGTTCCTAGGCTATAGGGGATATTTAATCACAAAATTTAAGCCAATTTTGGGTCTACCGCGGGCTCTCCTCCCAGTTGGGCGTGTCAAGAAAACCTCCAAATCGTCCAGGAAGCCTCTTAATCAGACGCCCAAACCACCTCAACTGGCTCCTCACCCTATCTCTAAGGCTGAGCCCAGACACCCTCTGGTGGAAACTCATTTGGGCCGCTTGTATCCTTGATCTCATTCTTTTGGTCATTACCCATAGCTCATGACCTAAGGTGAGGGTTGGAAAGAAGATAGCCCAGTAAATCGAAAGCTTTGCCTTCAAGCTCAGCTCCCTCTTTTAAAAGTTCATTTTTCGTTATATTGCAAAACCATGTTTATCAAGGCCTGACGTCCATCTCCTCTAACTATAAAGAAATCAGTCTGTTGTGCAATCGTAACACAAGTTCATCTCTGAGCAAAAAGTTTTAAAGGAGTGGAGAAGTGGTCTCAAATTGAGATTGGAGACTTAATCACAGTGGATTACGTTAATTAAGCCCCTGCTTGATTGCAAATTAAAAGGCTCTAACATTTGTGAGTTAATTAACTCGATTGTAATGATTTTACTTTAAAGATTTATTTTGATCTCTAACTTTAATAAGAGAACAATAAGAGGATTTACTTATTTATACTGTGTCTACATTTCATTTTAATGAGCTGAATCAACTGAATGATTAATTGTATCTTGTTGTGATCATTCAGATCTGTCCCTATATGTTGATATCGAGGGAAGGGGACAAATGGTTACATAAACACTTGATGCTTGCTGTGGGTGAATTGCCCTTGAGTTGTTTTTCCAGCTGAAGTTGGCATGGTGATCAAGTGGGCACAGATGGTCTGGCGGGACGTGTAATGTACCACTGAAACTAGAGCCGCATTAAACAAGGGGATTACTATGAAGGCAAGACAGACAACAGCATGGCCTCGTTCACTGATGTTTACCTTTGTTTTTGCTTAAATGGAGCTTTAGTTAATTCAAACTAATATGTATCATTCATGTGAAGTGTATATTGTAGACGACAGTTTGATCTCTTAAGAAATCACTGACTGAAAGGTTGTGCAAAGACTGGTGGTTCTTGAAAGATCTCTACTGTACTTCAGGGACTTTCTCTGTTTATTTCACACCATGCTTCTGTTAGAGATTTGTAAGACCAAAACAGGCAATGGAGAAAACAGAAGCAGACTTTGGACTCATTTTGCCTTGGTGTGCGCCGTGGTTTGGGTTAAATGCTTTGATTGAGGTTGTAGCATAAACTGGGTTAGTAATAAAAGCTAGCAGAACAATAACAGAACTTAAAATTATCCAGAAACACTTTCTGAAGGTCTTGGTCTCGTCTCGGAATTGAAAGCATTTTCATCGGTCTCGTCTCGGTCTCAGACTGGGAGGACTCCAGGTTTTAAATCAAGACGACCACTGAAAGGCTATTTTTCCACGTCATCACTGCAATAAGGAGGAAATGTCTCTTTCTTAAACAATGAAAAACTTAAATTAGTCTAAGTGAGTGACATGCCCGCTGCACTTCAGATGATTTTTCAGTGATATTTATGGTCTTGGTCTTGACACGGTCTCAATCCCTAAATGTCTTGGTCTTGTCTTGGAGCTCTCTGGTCACCGTTATGTCGTGGTTTCGGTTAGTGTGGTCTGACACTGACTTATATATGGTTGATAAAGTTCAGGTGTGCAAAAGCCAAGACTCATCTGTGAGATGAAGTTAAACATATTTTACTTAAATTGAATATACTGTGTTTGATGACAACCTTGTACCAAACAATCAAGATGACTGTTGTGTTCTTCACTCTCAAAACTAGTCAACTATTTTGGCATCCAAAAACTGTCTGCAACGGTAAACACTGTTGAACACTTTTTGTTGATGTTGGTTGTAATCGACCCTAATGAAACTCTCTCTCTCTAGGTAGCCTTTAATGCTGTGGTTCTCAACCGGCGGGTCGGGATCCAATTGTGGGTCGTAGAGTCCATTTCAGTGGGTCATGTGTGATGGGGGTCAAAAAGTCTATGAAGCACTGTTTAAACATGTTTGTTTTGCTCAGTCTAAGAAATTAAGGTAATTTCAAATGAAGGAGTTGGTTGGCATGACAAGAAAAAGGATCTTTCAGCTGCACTGCTTGGTTTAATACTTTCTTGGCACCGATTGGGTTCAATCATAGCTGAAGTGTTCTCAAACAAGAAAGCAAATATGCAAATTATTCTTGCTCAAGTAGCCACTTCTCCATCTGGATTGTTGACCTCTTGCACCTTTTGTTCATTTCAAAGAGGTATTGTTTGGAAGGTAAGACGTCTCTTTTGTGGTTTTTCCAATCATGAGACTTTTCTGTTTATGTGCTGTTAAAAGATAATGTCCCCCTGAAACACACAGATACTATTACACCTCTCGATTCTGGGAACATTTTAGTTTGGTGTGTGTGTGATATCAAAATCATTATTGCTATGTATGCGTACACTCAATACTCAGTCTGGAGGGGTGTTTTGTTGAAAGGCATTACAGTGAATTGAAAAGGGGCAGGGTAGAAAATGCAGGATAATAAACAGCAGATATGACAAAAACATTTCTGCACCGAATGAACTCCAATAATACCCTGAACATCACATAGTCGTGATGAAAACTATCCAAGCGCGGAGCTTGGAACCGATGCTATTGTTGAAGAATTCAATTCTGCAAGCACGCATTAAGAATGCATAAAATGAACTGCAGACACAGACGTGTTTTATTAAGGAAAATGTCTCATCAAGTTGAAGGCAATCTTATCAAATGATGAATATCTCATCTGTAATGAAACTCTGCAGTGCTTCTTTCATTCCCTTGGCTGATGCCCTTTGCATCGGAGACGGAAACTATAAAATATTTACAAGCCCTCTGTCACCTTTAGACCACCACTGTCACCAGCTGTCGGGGTCTCGGTGGGGAGTCTGTTGCTAAGTTTTGACTTGATTGGTTAGAAACCAGATCCTTAATCAAAATCAGAATTGTTAAAGTGGAGAACAGCAAGTCAGCACACACATATCCAATAATATTTTATTTCTTCTCTTCAGCAGCTGTTATGCGGCGGTTTCCATTGAGTGTCTTAATGAGGTTTCTTTGTTCCTGTTCACTTTCCACGCTCATGTTGTTCCAGCCAAACTGTGGATGTAAAAAGGGAACCTCTGATCACGAACCAATTTATCCAACTTTAGAGCTCAGTTCAGATTAGGAACTTGTTTGCACCAACTTGTTGCCATCCAGATTGTGTGGCGCTTGATTCCTTTACTTGGAAAACCAGCTTGCTCCCGTGACTGAGATTATGTAACGAGATTCCATTCTGCCTCTCAGACATTCAGATTTGTAAACCCCGATAGTGTTTTCCAACATGTTTGATATCCAGTGGTCTGTTAATCCCAGCAATGAAAGCTGGAGGGATCACGAAAACAGGAATGTGGACAGTAGGAATCAAACAGGATGATGTTGTTTTGAAAGAAAAAGGACTGCAGCAAATAATTGTCAGTATGAGTTATCATGTTGATTATTTATAAGATTAAAGAGTTATGACAATACTTATTCAAAGCTCCTGAGGTCCCATTTGGATTGAACACATTGAACCATATTTAAACTAAGTTCCTGTGGTTGGCAGAGTTAGATTGCTGTTTTATAACTCATTTAAAATAATCTAAAATAAGTATTATTCAAGCTGGAATGTTTATACTTTTTGCAACAGAAAGCTAAAGCTCATCTTTTTGTTGTTGTCACGTTGTACACTCATTAATGACTACATTTCTGTTGTCATGACACCAGAATTCAAAACTTTGATGCAACACTAGTCAAATTACAAATGTTGAAGTTTAATACCATGGCAACAAAAAAATAGAAGTCCAAGCCCCCAAAGGTGGGCAATTTCTTGTTTTTAATTACCAAAAATCAAAGTGAAGTCGTGCTTAATTACATCTGAAACGTTTTGTACAGAAACTTCTTTTGGTATGAGACAGGAACAGCTTGCAGGTTTATAGCAGTTTACACACCATAATGGAAGTGAGAAATGTCAGTATTTGAGTTTTTGTCGACCTGGGAATTTGAACCCACCTTTCTCTTGCTGCAACTTTGTGTTGAAATCTGACTAAAGATCTTTTTTCTTTTAAGCTTCATTACCTTTCAATACTATCATCATTAAATTCATTCCTTTAGTCTTTGAGTCTATGGTGAAACATGATTAAAGCATCCGACAGAGCAAAGCGATGATGGTGCTGCTCATTGCACTGGGTCCGTCTGAGTTCACAGAAACTTTTTCCTGGGATAGTTTAGTAACATGGGCAACAACAATGGACAGAGCTTTTTTTAATTCTCTTGTGATTTATGTGTTTCAGGTTTTGAGAGAGGAAAGGAGGACCTGCTGTCTCTGCCTTTGAAAGAAGACACACATTCCATATCTAAGAGCAAGGTAAGAAAAAACCCCTCTGCTGAGTCGTTGTTCTGTGTTTGTTGGATGAGGAAACGACGGGCGTCTTTTTAATGTTGGTGTCATAATGAGACAAGAGAATTTGGGAATTACTGCTCGTCTTCTATCTTTTCCCCGGTCTCGCCTCGGGCTTACGATAGCCTACATGAAGATGACTCACACACCAACACACTCTACACATCAAACATTTATCGACTGAAAAATTCAAAAAGTCAGCCGCTTCTCTCAAATGAGCTCTGTGTGGAGGAAGCCCGTCTAGTTCATCAGTCGAGGTCCTCGTCGAATGCATTTGTCAGAGCAGACGTGGGTGTCTGAGGCTCCCTCAGAGTCGCAGCAGACTCGCTCTCTGCCGCTTAATTTCCTGTAAGGACTCTCTGAAGTCTGAAGACACATGACAGGATAATCATTTCAGATCTTCAAAAGCTGTCTGTCAGCCAGGCTTCTTGACACCAAACAGGATTTTAATGAATCCTAATCTGCAGACTTCAGATTTTTTTGAGATTCTGCTCTCAAGAATCTCTCAAACAACATTTACAGACAGAATTGAGACATGTATCTATTTTCAGAGGAATAAATGCCTCATTAGGCAAAGGAAACAATTTTCCTATAATGGTTTTCTTGTTCCTTGGACCCTTTAAGATGTTACAAAGCAACCTCTACTCTTTCTGGTTTCTTTTGGCGAAGAATTTTAGATGTTTTTTGTTCACATCCCAAACATGAATCTTTTTTTCTTTTTTAAATATATATGTACGCGTCCTGTGAGTAAGGCACTGAGGACCTGATCGTACACGCCTCAGATCAGAATGCCCAGCTGCCCTTCAACAGGACATGTTCACATCCCAACATGAATCTGATTAAACTCCCTGACTAACCAACGACTCCTGTAACTGTGGCTGTCACAGGAATCTTTTAATTCTATCCAATCATTTGATTTGACCAAATTATGGTTGGACATTTTCCTTAAACTCCAGCTTCACACTCAATTGGTTTGAGTTAGAGCATCGTTAGCACAAAAAAACACAATGACAAGATCTGAATTAATAAAAGACAATAAATAAGAAGTTACTTTCTCACTCAGCATGTTTACATTTAACTTTGAGATTGAGGCCTTGGAATAATGATGATGCTTTCACACCATCCTGAGCCAGGCTCACACCACCTATCAGATACACTCATTAATTGGCTCGGATTTAGTTGTGAAAAAATGTTTTTTACACATACAGGTTTTATGTAAAACATGAAGAACAGCAGATCAATTTGAACCTCTGTTATTAATTAGAAAGTGCTTTAGAAATTGATGCCAACCTAAATGTCTTTACTTCGTCAACCAAAATAAATCAATTATAAAAATTCTGCTGCCGCCGTAAGATCTACAAGCGACGTCAGAACACAATAATCGATCAACTTCTGTCACTGCATCGATGCAGAATCGTTAACATCTGCATTGCAGCGCATCACTGAAATGATTGCAATGCCCCTAATGCCCAAACCAATTTCCCATATAAACACAATCGACACATTAATACATACACACTGATACATATTCACACCTAAATTTAAATTTATGACCATTCCTCCTCCTAAATGTTTCAACTACATATTTCACAAACACTGAAAAAAACAACAAACAGAAATTAAGCGATCCAGAGGACTCAACCATAGAGCTTTACACTTTAAAGTACTTTATAAAACTTTATTTTTTTGTGCTTGTGTTGTGAAATCACATGAGTTTTACGACTAGAAATCAGCCCTTAGTTTGACAAATAATTTCTGGGAAATTGAGCCTCGGCCCTTGTGTACTTTCTGATGTTTGTCTGACCCTGCCTGCAGGAGTTTAAGGCCTTAAGTGCTCCTGCTTTAGGATCCCCACACATCACCGTCTGTCTCTCCACTATAAATCGCTCCAATTGGCTTGTGAGCCGAGCTGGCAGAGACACACACCTGAGCTGACATTTATAGGCTTCATATCGGCTAACTGAGCTAAGTTTGGTTTACTAGGGAACCACAGAGCCTCGCTCGTGGATGTTTTTCCAATGACGTCGTTTCTGAGATTGTTATCAAACATTATAATGTTTAAGCCCTTATTTCATTAGACTCTGTTGTTTTGGCTTTTGGGGAAATACATTTACTATTAAGAGGGGTATTAAGATCATGAATTTAAGAAGACCGGGCACTAATCTTCAACTGATAACTTTGTTTACAAGCTCTAGATTTCTTTCCAGCAGCTTCACATGGCACATACATCATGACTGATGTGTACTTGGTATACTTCAGCATAACTTTCTTGTCTTTTAATCCATTGTTTTTCCCTCCTGTTTGTCCACAGTCTGAAACAAAGTTGTATAATGGCTCTGACAAGGATGTGTCCGCATCCGGAGGAAAGCTCACCAAAAAGGAGTCCCTCAAGGTAAAAGAGCTTAAATCAGCTTAAGACTTGCTTATCCGGGACTTATTCTCAAGATAGGCATGAATCTTGCCCTAATATGGAGAGTGTTACATATGACATCCGTACGGACACTTGTTGTTGTACAATTTGTTGACCTTTATGAACCTCTTTTTTGTATTTTTAAAGGTTTATTTTTGGGCTTTTTGTGCCTTTAATGGACAGATAGGACAGTGGATAGAGCCGGAAATCAGGGAGAGAGAGAGAGTGGGTAATGACATGTGGGAAAGTAGCCACAGGCTGGATTCGACTCTTGATGTGTCAGTAGAGCCCTGTTCCCACCAAGCTGTCCGGTTCATTCCAGTACGTTACCCATTTATTGGCGTTTCAACCGTCAAAAGTTGGAAATGATACCAAAATAAGGGATCCGTACTGTCCTACATTTTTGGTGCCCTTCTGTTGAGGTGCCAAGGGTACTGATCCGTCCCTAAAGGGTCCCAGTTCTTCTTGAAGGTTTAACTTAATTATTAGCGGGCTACACTGTGTTGGGCTGCTGTGATGTCACACTATTACACAACTGACGCTGCTATCTCCATCTGGCATACACTCCGCTTACCAAATAAGGGTACGATTGGCTGTGAAAACGTAACCAAGTTCAGGGTTTACCGTATCAAACTGTATCAAACTATACTGAACCAAACCTGACTGCTTGAAGGAAAAGGGGCTAAAGGGAGCCTTTTGGGTTGGATCGGTACCCTTGGCACCAAAACAGAAGGGTACCAAAAAAGTAGGACGTACAGATCCCATATTTTGGTATCTTTACCAACTTTTGACAATCAAAACACCAATAAATGGATACTGTACTGGACCGCTTGGTGGAAACAGGGCTCATGACAGTATATAGTCCCATCATGTTGTGCAGTAGTGTCACAACAAAGCAGGGAAGTCAGATGTCACATGTTACATTCAAACAGCTAACATGCTAACACCTTCAGCTGGAAGCATGCTCCACAGTGACAAGCTATCAGGTTTTATTTTAACAGCTGCCCAGAGAAGTGTGATTCCTGTATTATGATATACGACTAAATGTGATGCAGTGAGGAACAGAGTGTGGATTATCATTAATCACAGCTGTGTGAATTTTGCATCCGTGCTTCCTTCAGGTGCAGAAGAAAAACTACAGAGAAGAGAAGAAGAGGGCGACCAAGGAGCTGCTCAGCACCATCACTGATCCCTCCGTCATCGTCATGGCCGACTGGCTAAAGGTGGAAAAGTTTAACAACCCACAGTCAAGATTTCCTTCTGGTGTTGTGTATTTCCAATGATTATAAAATAAAATGACAGTGTTGTGATTATGTGTGGAAACATGGCTTTGTTGTTCGTAACATCCATCCATTAAACCATGCTTTTTGTTTCTAAAAGAAACAAACAAACCTAATACCCAGGGAACAAAAGCACTTTAAAGGTAGTTGGTTAAGTAATGCCCAGCCTCTCTGACACGTATCTGTATTTGATTCAGATCCGTGGCACTCTGAAGAGCTGGACCAAGCTGTGGTGTGTGCTGAAGCCGGGCGTCCTTCTCATCTATAAAACCCACAAAAACGGACAGTGGGTGGGAACGGTGCTGCTGAACGCCTGCGAGCTCATTGAGAGGCCCTCCAAGAAGGACGGCTTCTGCTTCAAGCTGTTTCACCCGCTGGAGCAGTCCATCTGGGCCGTCAAGGTCAGAAAACAACTCATTATACAGACGGTGCAGCAAAATGTGAGGATGAGGAAGCTGAGAAAAAACGAGGATAGGAGAAATGATCAAAAATACAAATATCACAAGTGCTTCATCCAGAAAAGTAGTGACAACACTTCAGAAAAAACTGCCATCTCTTAAAAGTCTTCAAAAAAATATTCATTATATAATATAAACAGGTAATGCAGTCAGTCTGACTCCGACTTGTTGGAGACAAAGACGTCGTTAAAACCTTCCACTTCCCTGTGAATTGAAGTTGCAGAGGCAGTCATTAAACCAGGAAAATATGTCCACATGACTAATTGAAGGGCTTGTCAAATAGAATAGCTAATGAAAAAATGAAAGATTCAGGGAAATTTGTTCTGCTGATTTAAAAAGTCCTGCATCATGTTATCTTTTCAGATTTAATGGTTACTTTAAAGAGAATTTTCACTGATGGGAAAAGTAACTCTAAAACTAGTTCAAACTGTTCAAAACTCTTCCTGCTACAAATGTTTTTGTGCCTTATTTCCAAAGCACTTTATTGGGACTTGACGTTGCCCCCATTATCAGCGATTCTAGAGTCTGTTGGGGCCCTATGCAAAAATAAACCAACGACCATTCATCATGGTTATGTAATAAATAATCTGACACCCACAAAAGAAAATGTAAAGCAGAAGTTAGCAGAGCTTTACAACTCTTTTTTAAAACTTTGAACATTTTGAGCCACTGCTGTGGATGGAAGTTTGTCAGCCCTCAGGGGCCCCCCTACTGGCCAGGGGCCCTTAGCTGTCGCCTGCCTCGCCTGTTGACAAGAAGCGCCTCTCTCTATTATCCAATCCTAACTTTACATTTTGTCATTATTTGTAGTTTTCCTCCAAATATGGTTAGACAGGAAGATTTCTTGTGTTCAGCGTGACCTTCCTTTCTATGTTTGGGGATAATTATGAGGAAAAAATATATTAATATATATATTAATGTTATAATATATAACTATTATCTTTCCCCTTTTTGAGACAGGAAAATAATATTGTATCGCTGTTTTGCTTCCACAAGTCTGGTCATCCTCCTCTGAGCTCGCTCGGAAGAAGGTCAGAGAGAAAAACAGCCCTTAGTCTCGCAAGGATCTAATTCAATACGAGGACCACGGGGGACTTTAATGTCATTAAAACACCCCCCTTAATTATAATGAAACTGGCCTTTAAAGGAGTAGTTTCACTTGTTGAGAAATATGCTCTGGCGCCCTCCCTGTGTCACAGCACCACTTTAACATCTCTCTTTAATTTAATGCATGTCTACAGATCCTGTTTGTGCATGTGTATATTTTGGGCCTATGTGTGTGAGAAGCACATCTCTCTAGAGTGTAGACCAGAATTTACCTCAGTGATTAATAAATTATGTAAAATGAATACAATACAAAAACGATCGTACCTTGGCAGTTATCTTAGCATGTTTCAGGTTATCACTGGTAACGGCAGTAAAGAGATTGTATGTGTCTACCCAAAGGATTAAAATCCACCTGAAGACACCTCTGACCCTCACTAACTGACCTGTAAAACCTTGTTTTACATTGAGAACATCGAGTAAACAAAAGAGAAGACAGTTGACAGTTTTACTGGAGTTATGTAAATAAATCAATCAAACAACAGTATTAATCCCATTTAGGGTAATTGGATTGGAGCAGTTAATACATAAGTGCCAGATTGTCTCTTGGCATAGTCCCATCCTTTAAGAAAAAGTGTGTTATCTTTGGATTTGTTATGTTTAGACAGCCAGGTCAGCTGTTGTGTCCTTTTTCCACTTACACAACATGTTAACTAACTTAACATGTGTTGTTAAAAAATGTTTTAGTCCTTCGAACCATCTTTTCAGGAAATATTGACAGAGTTTCAAAGCCTTAAAAGTAGAATACTGCCAAAGGCTTGTTACAGAGACGGATGAATTCACATTCAAACAAGTCTCCAGTGATTAACAAAACAAAACAAACACAAACAGATAATCAGGGGAAGTGGGTCTTTTTGTTCTCCCCTGCAGTCAAAACAAACAGGCAAACATATTTGGATGTTAACTGCATAATTAAGAGCTCATCTTTGTTTAATTTAGGCCATTTTCATATTTGGCAGCACACGTTTTCCGTTTGTTATTTTATGTTTTCTGTCCTGTTCAGTCGTCCACTTCATCTGCGATTTAGTATTCATCCCTGACCTCGCTTTACCAATGTTTTTTTGTTTTTGTTTGGTTTGGGCTTGAATAAAAATGAGCAGTCTGTTTTTTTAGATGACAGTGTTCCTGCTCTCCCCATTGTACTCTTCATTGTTGGAATAAACACTTCATCCAGTCCACCTCTGTCCCCTCTCATCGCTCATTTGCATAACTCCATGCTCGCAATGCTCCAGATTTCCTCGATTTGCTCACATCAATGATTAAAAATCTTCAAAAGTTCAGCTGAAACTAAACAGGGAAATCATTATTTCTGATGGAAATATCGAGGGTTAATAACAACACCTCTCTGGAACAATACATTTGATTTGTAACATTTATTTTTCCACATTATTTACTGTCGTCATCAGGGTCCCAAAGGAGAGGCAGTCGGCTCCATCACTCAGCCGTTACCCAGCAGCCACCTCATCTTCAGGGCTGCCTCCGAGTCTGATGGTAAGAGACAGCCTGTCAATCAAACGTCAGCTATTTATCTGAGGCTTGACATTAGTCATTTAAATTGACTGATTACAATAAATCCATGAAGAAGAATGTCATGTGTGTCATCTTTTCAAGCCAAGTCTATCGGTTTAAAAATACAAAGCTATTTTAGTACTTTGAGTTTGACAACCCGTTAGTTTAAACTGTTCATTATCTGAATAAAGTAAAGTCTGAACATCACGACCTGTATTAAATCTGGGCTATTAGATGCTGATTTTGGTGGGAAGTATAATATATATTCTCAGAGGCACGACACTAATACACCTGAGAAAAGTCCATCAATTTTAAACCTAATTCTGTTTTATCCCATTACAACCAGTGTACCCCTACTGTGGAAGGAAACTTGGAGTTAAACGAAAATAAACAAGACATTATTCATGCCTAACTCGCTAACCCTGTATTACATTTCTTGTAGCATTTAAATTATGTCCGAAATGTCTCGTTCTATTCAAGACTTATAAAAGTGACCCATAGTTAAAAATCCTGTGAATGAATGAATCGTGACCTTTTGAATGGTGTAAGCCACATCTAGTATTGCTGTGTCTCTGTCTGTAGTGCTGAAACACCCCGCCCAGTCTGTACCTTTGGAGGTCTCTGTCCGTGGTGCTGAAACACACACCCAGTCTGTACCACTAATGGTCTCTGTCCGTGGTGCTGAAACACCCCCTCCAGTCTATACCACTAGTGGTCTCTGTCCGTGGTGCTGAAACACCCCCCCTCCAGTCTATACCACTAGTGGTCTCTGTCCGTGGTGCTGAAACACCCCCCCCCCTCCAGTCTGTACCACTAATGGTCTCTGTCTGTGGTGCTGAAACACCCCCTCCAGTCTATACCACTAGTGGTCTCTGTCTGTAGTGCAGAAACACCCCACCCAGTCTGTACTAGTGGATGTCTCTGTCCGTGGTGCTGAAACATGGTCTAACATTGTCCAGAATCCCTTTCTGCTTTGCACCCTAGCTCAATGTGTTAATTTTACATATATTATTACTCAGTATATGATTAAATTGCCTTGATTTATTTGTAGTTTCTACATTACTGGTATTTATAAAGGGATGTTAGACATACAAGTAACCTATTGTCCAAAATCGTGTCCATAATGAGTACATTTTTAACATTTGAAAGACTTAAGTCTTAGCCCAGCTCTCTTTATAGCTCTCTCTCTCAGTGTCTCTGTCTTTGGTGCTGAAAATTATTATAATTTGACCTTAATTTTTACTTCAGATTAAAGTTTCTGAGTGTTGATTTAATGCACAATTTATGCCCCTTAAAAATATACCTTCAAATAACCAAGACCGGTTTTCTGAAGCAGCAAGCCTGCCTTCATTTTCTATAGAAAATCAAAGCCCTTCTGATTTTCAATTGAATAAAAAAACATGTGTCCTTCTGTTGTGCTATGAATATCAATGTGATAGGCATTCATCAAATATTGCACCTCTGGAACGGTCTCCGGGTCAATTTAGATGGGATTGCTGTTAAAAAGAAGAAAATCAATCTGATAAGAAATCTAAACGTCCTTGATTCACTTTTCTCTGAATAGTAAATTAAGGTATATTAACTAACAGTGAAGGCTGAAGTAGTTTTAGTAGTTTAAGTAGTTTAAACTAAATAAAGCACATCAGATTATTCAGCTGATTCGGCTAAATCTCTGTTTTAGGTCGATGCTGGATGGATGCCTTAGAGCTAGCCCTGAAGTGCTCCAGTCTTCTCAAGAGGACCATGATCCGGGAGGGGAAAGAGGACATGAGCACAGTAGCCACCGGTGGAGAACACTCCATAAATTTCTACAGCCTTCTCAGAGCCCACAACATCCACGGCTTCCAGTGAGCAGGATATGAAAATCAAAGATACAACTTTTTTTCTCTTAAACTTTAAAACCACCGGCCCTTTTCAAACATGTTTATCTTCTTTCCAGGTTCAATGACAGTGACCATTTGAAAGACCCAGACCTGTACTCAGACAAGTCGGACAGGGAGGGGGAGCAGGACCACGAGGAGTCGGATCCAGAGGGCCTCGAGAAGAGTGAAGAGAGCGACAGCGACACGTCAGAGCGCCAAGACGACTCGTACATCGACCTTGATCCTAATGAGCATCTGCGGGAAACACCATACCTGGAGCAGTCCCATGAGGAGCTCGGAGAGGTAAAGGACATAAAGTTTGATTCAGGCCTGCTATGTTCCTGCAGAGATAAAATATTGTAGCATCACACATTACTCTCTAAAGACCTCCAGCAACTATTTTCATCTTTATCTTGGATTTAAACTTAAACTAGCAAAGAGCTTATTTTTTGTTCTGAAGTTTTCTCCCTAATGAGGAGAAAATTAACATGTTCTTCTGCTGGGGCTATTGGGAAAGCATGTACCATGGACTGGCTTTGATCACGATTGTTGGGGCTTGGTTTGTGTGGGTGTCTGAATCATGACAAGTGTGAAAGTACTTGTATGAATTTCCATACTGATGAAATCTCAGTTTAACAGCTCTATGATTAAACAGCTACTGAAGCGTAGGAACAATGTTTATAGAGGTAGGAGCTAATTTAAACTTCCTTTTGAAGAGCGGTCAATGAAAACATGATGTCTGCAGTGTTGTTTTAGGCTATCTCTGGGGAAAATACTTCACTTCTCAACCATTTTGTGCATGTCCTCCTGCAGGCTGGCGAAGCTGCTCAGACAGAGACGGTGTCAGAAGAGAATAAATCTCTGATCTGGACTCTACTGAAGCAGGTGCGACCTGGCATGGATCTGTCCAAGGTGGTGCTGCCCACCTTCATCCTGGAGCCGAGGTCCTTTCTGGACAAACTCTCCGACTACTACTACCACGCAGACTTCCTGTCAGAGTAAGCACTTCCCATTTCATATTGTTAAAAGGAATATGTCTGTTTTATCAGTGAACAGACTTACACAGTATTTTGCTACGAGCTCCTTGAGAGGTCAACACCAATCATATCTTCATGCTTAATGTGGAACATGAGTGAGCAAGCTTTTTTCTTAGACCAGCAAATAAATATTAAATACAACAAATAGCTACCCTGGCTCTATCCAAATTTCACAACAACAACAACACAACAGACTTAATTTATTCCAAAAATCAGGTGAACTTTAGCTTTGTTTGTGTGATAAGTCCACTGGTATGGATTTCTTATTATAGAAATGAATGTCCACATACTAAAGCCTGGCTCCCTTTCCTGACAATCGCGGGGGTGTTCCCGACTCTCGGCTGCCCGGAAAAAAGATTATCTTCCCAGATTTTCTTGGAGAGTGGGTGGTGTAAAGATCCAATCTTAACGTCCCAGATCTGCTCAGAGATCGTCAGGAAAGGATTTATATCAAACATCTTTGGTATTTAGGATTTAAAATCTTGAAAAGTAAGTAAGTAAGGTTCTGATGCACAGGAGGACAGTAATAAGGGGACAGCAATAATGGTAACCGGCTGCAAGATGCATACTGAACTGGTGCGCTGGTCAACTATATATGACAGTTACAAGACAATCCATTTTGTCCATCACGCCTCCTCAGACATTTCTTCACCCAAACGCGTTGTTTTTTAAAAATTATTTATGTGAGGTGGCTTATCTATGTAGTATTTTGAAATTAACTTTTAAGAGATTATTGTTTATACTGTGGTCCTTTTTTCCCCTTAGCTATGAAATATTAACTTATAACTTATAAGAACTTATCGTTTTTGCATTTAGCTTCTCAAGTTGAAGTTGAGTGACTGATTGTTAAACTAAATTGAACAGCAGGACCCTTTGTTAAAATGTGTTGTTTCCTCAGAGAACAGCAAAACATCTTTGATCACAGTGAAGTGTTTCCGAGAAAACTCAAGTTGACAAGAAAGGGGAAATGTCTGGGAAGATAATCAAATCCAGTTTGAAAGGTTTTTCCGATGAGCGAGACAGCTGGTGTCAATCTTTCTTTGTTCATTCTCAGGGCTGCAATCGAAGAGAACGCCTACAACCGCATGAAGAAGGTTGTGAAGTGGTACATCTCTGGGTTTTACAAAAAGCCAAAGGTCAGGAGCATAAACATGTCAAATCCAACATATGATAATGATGTGAGTGGTGCGGACATGCTTTCTCTTTACACTGTAATAAATCCTCTGTGTTTAATCCTCAGGGCTTGAAGAAGCCTTACAACCCCATTATTGGAGAGACGTACCGCTGCATGTGGCTCCATCAGAAGACCAACAGCAAAACCTTCTACATCGCAGAGCAGGTAACAACCGCTCCGCTACCATGACAACTAGCTACAAGCAATCTGATTGGACATAAGCTCATTCCTTTGTATCAGACGCCTGTTATAAAACAATGAAATACAGCAGCTGTCTCTGCTTGAAATAAATGTTGCGCAGACTGCAATCGTTTGAAGGATATTGTTAATATGATTGCTGTAATTGTGGCGCCAGCATGGCAGCTAAGGTACTTATGGCTAGTTCTGCAGTTATTTTGTTGCAGTTATAAATCACAATGGACCTTTATTTTTTTTTTATGTAATAGATTCTCTTTCTGTCCGGGGTTAGGGTCTTTGTTTTCCCTTTGTCTGCACTGTTCAGCACTTTGTGTGAAGTACTTTACATCGCTGACTACATCGCTGTGTGTCTTTCCCCAGGTTTCCCATCATCCTCCAGTGTCAGCTTTCTACGTCAGCAACAGGAAGGATGGATTTTGCCTCAGTGGAAGCATCCTCGCAAAGTCCAAATTTTATGGTACACTCACGACTAAGATCCAAATGATATCAGCTTACACCTTACATTATAGTCACACAAAGAATATGTGATTATTTGTATTCTGCTGTTAGTTATTCACTCCTCAACCAATTTACCACCTCTGTCTAATACCTGCTGCTTCTTTTTCCATTTAAAGGAAACTCCCTGTCGGCCATATTGGACGGGGAGGCCCGGCTAACGTTCCTAAACCGAGGAGAGGACTACGTGATGAATATGCCGTACGCTCACTGTAAAGGTCTGAGAGCAACTTTGTCCTCGTCACAACATTATCCAGCTTTAGTGCACCTTTTATATGAAATGTGAATCTCAAATTTACACAGAGCTCAAAGTCGAGTAGACTGATGCAGAAAGTTTAACGAACACAGTGAAAGTTACATGTCCACCCTCACTCCATGATGGTGCTGGTAAAACACAGGAGAACATTCAGGGCAGGGTTTATTCCCACGAGAAGTACCTCCCACTAAGTGTCTGACCTGAAGACTTACATAGGCCCCGTGGCCACCTAGTGTTTTTTTATCTAAGCGCCAGCGTCTTTTTTCAATTGTTTTCAATGAGGAGGCAGCGTTTGCAGCGGCAGGCGGCGCCCAGAACAAATAGGCGCAGCGCCCAGCGTCTTTTTTCAGAGGGGTCCGCCTTTTATGTGCGCTGTCAACTTTTCAGAAAGGCGCTGTTTCCGTATTTTTGCCTCATACAGGTCGTGTCTTGTAGCCACATCCTCTTTGCTCCGTGTCTGATCGGGAAAATAAAGGTCTCAAATATAAAAAATGAAGCATTAAGCAACAGAGCAGTGATGGTCATATAGTAGTCGTTGTCATAGAGACAGAAGGGACGTACATATAACAAATAAAATCATCATTTAGTTTTTGTTGAATGCACATATCTTTAGATATTTCATACTTTGTACATATTGTAATGTTCCTTATCTATTTTGATCTTTTCTGTATTTCAGTTGTATTTAGTATTAAACATGTAATATTTGATATCTTAATCTTATATTCTGTAAACAAGCAACTGCGAGGCCCAGATTTTCCTCTCTGGAGAATAAACAAAGTATTTATATAACAAAAGCAGATAAATGATGCCAGTCAATCGAGGCCTGTGACTTTGCAACATCTTTGCTAATCAAAAATCTAACAAATAGTATCTTATGAATGCTGATGATTCAACAAGACCAAGACTTTTCCTCTCAGTTTTGTCTATTATCTGAGCCAGTTATTCATGCTGATGGGTAATTGTTTTGGTGTTCTGTATCTGCTAGGCATCCTGTACGGTACCATGACCCTGGAGCTGGGCGGTGGGATCTCCATTTTGTGCGAGAAAACGGGCTACAGCGCTCAGCTCGAGTTCAAACTGAAGGTATTGCTTTGTTTTCTACTTTAAAATGAACAATTTCAGTCCTTTGTTTAAATCGTAGAACCATTTAGAGTTCCTGCGTCTTAAGAGGAAACCTTTGTAATCCTACAGTAACCCTTAGAATCATCTTTTAAAAAAAAACAGTTTCTCACGTGTTTTCTTTGAATGTCTCACTCCCAACACCATCACCACCTCCACCATCCGCTCTGTCCCCTCCTTAAACACCACCCCCACAAATCACACCATCACCTGCCCCCTCCTGTCGTAAACATAGCGACAGGTACATATCAGAGAAACAAAACCCTAATCCCAACCCTTTCCTGAATCCAAGTCATGCTAGGTGCCTCTTATTATTAGACTGTATCTTCACAGCACATTGATATCTTTGCATGTAGATTTAGTGGGATTAATTAGAACTGATGGATGCAGGGCGCCTTTTTGGACAATTAACTTGAAGTACTTTAATTAACCCAATTAATTGGATTTTAAGGGCAATTGCGACCTATTTTCTCTTTTAAAATAAGTCTTGAACTGAAACTTTCTTCATCAAAAGAACTTGTAAGGTTTACCTTCTTGTTTTCTTCTTATCCGCAAGCAACACTTTGAACAGTTCTAAACGTATTAAACGACGTATTAAAGGCACAGTATCTTTTCACACCAAGTGCAGCGAGTAAACTGAATGTATGCGTGTATCTGTCCATCCTTGTAACCCCAATTTCCTTTTTCCTCTCCACCTATTTTCTTGTTTTATTGTTCCCCCTCTCCTCTCCTGCCCCGTCCTTTCATTCTTCCTTCTCTACTCCTCCTTTTGATTTCCTTTCCTGCTCTTTCCTCGCTGCTTCCTCCTTCTCTCCACTTGTATCTGCTTCTCTTCCCTTTCTCTCCTCCAGCCGTTCCTGGGCAGCAGTGACAGCGTGAATCAGGTCTCTGGAAAGATCAAGCTCGGGAAGGAGGTTTTGGCTACGCTGGAAGGACACTGGGTAAGACTCAAACTTCACCCCTTCATCTCAGTAATCTCTCATTTACATACAGTATGGGACATGAGGAGCTCAACCTGTGCTATGGACGTGTTTTGTATGTGTTATAATCAGTGAAGTTGACTGCTGGTAATATGATGATACACACACCTGTATTTGTGCTATGTGCTGTGTTGTAGATGTCTTAAGATTGTGTTCACCACATTTTATTTTAAAGGAAAACAAACCACATTCAAATATCGATATCAAACATAGAAACATTAATAGACATTTCCCCAAATGTGTCCCTCAGTGTTCTCACCCAGAGGAGTCTGTAATTAAACAAAATAACGATTTGTTTCTTTAAGTCTTTACTTTGCAAAACACAAGATCATATGTAACCCCTAAAGTCCACCACATTCATGTTCGGTCCATCTACTTGATAGGTGTTTACTTTTTTTCAATGTGTGTGCTTCCACTGGCTCCGCTGCGCTCCGTCCCACCTCTCTGCAGCGGTTACACAGGGCTTCTACATTAAAACATCCGGTTTATTTTTAAAATTAAACACTCCATTTTGACGGTTCAGAACAATGACCTTATGTGTGTTTGTTGAAGTGTTTGTGGGTGGGTTTGTGAAGGGTTTTTATATGGTTTTATACCACATACATGGTATTATCGCTGTGCTGTGTAGCGGACACACAATGCACACATATCTGGTGGAAGTTCTGGGTCAGACTGTGAGGTATTAAAGGGGCAAACGTCTTGTGTTGGCTAACTATACTTGTGGTTGTTTCATCACAATAAAACGACTAAAAGTAAAGTTTGAAAACATTTACATCTTTGGCTAAATTTTCAATTTTCAACACAGATTTTCATCTGCATGAAGACCAAAACTCCCATGATTCACCCCTACCCAACTAACCCCTACCCAACCCTACAAAGTTATGGTGTCGCCCTCTGTTAATGCACTGATTTGGAAACCTTGAGCTGTACCTTATCACTAGGTCCTTAAATTGTAATTGACAAAGTGTTCTTGGACTGGCCAGGGCTTTATTCTTTTAACTTAAACACATGTTGAAGCCAGCCAGCAAAGGTTGCTTTCTCATACTATCCTCTGTGGCAATGTTTTTTCTTCCCTTGCTCTTTGTCCAGTTCTCTGCACTTTAACAGCCACACATGGTGCTGCCATGCAAGAAGTTGTTTCATTGCTCTTTCAGGATGCTATGCAGTGGTTCCATGGTGTAATGGTTAGCACTCTGGACCCAAATAGTGCAATTTAATGTCCCACTGATAATCTCTAAAATATATATAACCAATGATCTTCAGTACATTTTGCCAAAATGGAGCTTTCCTGGTTCCCACAGTTTTAAACCCAATAATCGCGTCATATAACAGCTGTAAATGTTTTTTAATTTATCTTGAAATTTCATTAGGAAATTAAGGAACATTTTTCCCCCTAACAGGACAGCGAGATCTTCATCAACGACAAGAAGACAGGGACGTCCGACACGTTTTGGAACCCGACTCCAGACCTGAGGCAGAGTCGACTGACGCGCTGCACCGTCCCACCAGAGGAGCAGGGAGAGCTGGAATCAGAGAGGTGAAGATCTGATGAACTATTCACAATATAGCAGTTAATTTTTTTATAATAGTGTCCTTATTATGGGCTGTGTGTGTGTCGTTTCTTTGCCCACATTTACCTCTGTCACTCTTTAGCATCTGGTCTTCAGTTACCATCTGTCCTTTTTGAGTGCAGACAACCTTCATGCCTTTTGCCCCCTCTCAATCCATCAGGCTGTGGCAGCATGTGACCCGAGCCATCAACAACAAGGACCAAACGGAGGCCACCAACGAGAAGTTCATCCTGGAGGAGGTTCAGAGGAAATCTGCACGTGAACGGAAAGCCAAATGTGAGGAGTGGATCCCTGCGCTGTTTGAGCAGGACCCAGTCACCGGAGAGTGGCATTACAGATATGCCGAGTGAGTGAAACTTCTACTTCCTGTGAGCTTCTGAGGTTTGACATCAGGTCAGAGTGCAGTGACTGAAAAAAGTCAAAACATGGTTTCTTCTATCTTCTACCTGAGTCGAACAAAATTCAGATCAAGTCATGGGAAATATCAACAGAACAAAACTAAACAGTACGACAGGATAGTGTTAATAATCCAGTGTGAGGGGTTTTCAGCCACAACCACAAAGAAGAATGCCAAGCACCAACAAGAATAGCCTGATTGTCGCTTCATTTCAAAACAGGATAATATGAGATTTATTTTTGGGCCTTTAATGGAGAGTTAGGAAAGTGGATAGAGTTTGAAATCAGGGAGAGAGAGAGTGGGGATGACATGCGGGAAAGGAGCCACAGGCTGGATTTGAACCCGGGCCGCCTGCTTGGAAGACTACAGCCTCCATACATGGGGCGCACGCGCTAACCACTGTGCCACCAGCTCCTCGGGATAATATGAGATTTAAGAATTCTCTGAAGGTTTATTTTGGGTATTTTATGCTTTTATTTTGATAGGACAGTGAATATAGTCAGAAATCAGGAGTGAGAGAGAGAGTGGGGAATAGCATGCAGGAAAGGAGTCGCCACTGTTAATGGTGGGCGTGCACCAACTAATAAGCTATTGGCACCCCATAATTTAAAGATTCTAAAAAAAAAAATCCAACCCTAACCCATGAAATCTGACGACAATATAATCATAAGAGGATATTTGATGTGTATCCAAAAAAAAAAGATACACACACAATATTTACTGTGACAAAAAATAACTACAGCTTCTTTTGGCGTGACTGTATGACGACATCTTGTTTCTGATTGGTTTGTGCCAAAACAACCTGTTGTTTAAGTTTATATTGGACATCTACATGAGTCTACTAATTCATTGGTCAGACTCCTCTTACAAGACGAATATTCAAATTCAACCAAATGAGCTAAATGGGGATATAAATGAAGACAGAAGTTACATTTTTAAATCAAATATACTAAAAGAGAAAGATAACCAATCATATTCAATTTACCTTCATGAGATGAAAACTTGGCAGTAGTTTGTGGGTCGAGTTAGTTCTGAAGCTCTAAGACAAAATTGTGCCTCTTTAGGGAAGCACATACATTTTTGATGACGATATTAAAAAACAAATTATTTTTCCAGAGAATCAGACTGAAAAAAAGACTTGAAAGCAATTCTGTCCTCACAGTTATTTTGTTTACACGTTGCATACTTCAATGACACCTTACAGTTGCTCTAGATCCGAGGCACTTCACTTTAAAGCCTCCCCTTCTACTTTAATAGTGAATTTTCTGGTGTGTCAGGGCGCCATCTAGTGGTGATTTACAATATCTGCAGCAGGGATGTGCCTCTACAAGCAGACTACTGCTGTTGATCTTAATCGACAGCTTTTATATAATAGATAATGTCCATCTCCACGTCTTCTTTTTCAATCTTTCTTTGTTTCTTTCTCATCCGGCTCTCTGCCTTTTCTTTTGCTCGACTCCTCTTTGTCATTTTCTATTCCTGACTCCTAATGTCACCCTCTCTGTCTCTCTTTTAATCAGCACGAGGCCATGGGATCCGCTCAACGACCTGATCCAGTTTGAGAAAGACGGCTGTATCCAGACCAAGGTCCGACACCGCACCCCTATGGTACGTTCTGGCAGTCTTATTAGTCTGAGTAACCAGGCGCCGCGGAGGGACAATTGCAAGTGCCAGGTAGGTCGTCCCGATCAAAAACCGCCCTAAAAAAAAAAAAAAAACAAGCTCGCCGTCTCAGCCACCCTCCACGCAGCACCCGCTGCTTCGTCTTCATTGTCGCTTCTTCTCTTTGTGTCGTCATCGCCTGCCGCCATCACCGTCTTCACCTGTTCATCTTCATTTTTGCTCTCTTCTTTTGCTTTCACTACCTTGGCATTGTCTGCTCTGTCTGTGTTTAACACTGCATGCTGTAAGGAAGTGGATAACCAGGTATTCATGTTCCCTTCTTCACCTCCGCCAAAGGATCAAGTTGAATCAGCTAAAACATGTCTGGTTTTATGTGAAAGAGCCGCTCCAAGTTTAATCACTTCTGCACAATGTTTCAAGAACTTCAAAGTAACCTTGAAGGATATAAGTTGAAACAGTCTTTATTTGCAAGTGTACGTTCAATTCTGTGTCTGCATTCAAAATGTTACAATAAAGATAGACAGTGTTTAAGAAGTGGTCATAGCTTCTGAGTCTGCAAGCTTAGGCCAGTGAGGAAACACATTGAAGGTGGAGTCACTAGGCCTCCTCCTCCTGGGCTCATCGCCCCCAGAAGCATAAACATCCTGCAGTATGTAGTGTGTACGCTTACTGCTTGTACCTACACTGCAGGCTAGCAAAAGCTGACATTGGTGTTTTGCGTCTGCCTGTCCAGCAGAAAGCAGACCAACTGCACGTAAAAGCCAACCTAAGGTTCACCTTAGTCTTGGAACAAGCTTTATCTGCTGTGTGTTTCTCCTTGCTCTGATTCTATTTTCTCATTTTTTGACATCCATGTCACCTGCACGCTGTCATCACGTAGGAAAAATGCATTAGCTCCCCGTCCCCACCCAGAAACGTCCAAGTTAACCAATACAAACCAAAACATCAAAATCTAGTCAGAGGACAGATTCTTTGCAGACACAGTCACCACCACACATGTATGGATGCCCAGAAGTGATGATAGAGCTTCTAACGACTAGGCTGCCAGCACCCAAAGCCCTTACCCTTTTGAGAACAACTAACATCAGTGTGAGGCACCTGTCTGTCCAACAGAAAGCATACCAACTCTCTGTCTGTGGGTGAAAGCTAGCACAAGATTCACCCTCGCCTCACTGATTATATTTTCTCTTCTTTGCTGCGACGTCCACGTCTGTCATATTCGACGGTTTGAATCGCGTCAAATCTCTGAATTGTTTCCACTTCTAAACTCACCTGCGCACCGTCATTGGCTGTGGGAAACACACCAACTCCCCACCCAGAAACGTCCGAGTCAACCACATCTAACCAAAACATCAAAAATAGGTGATGTTCTGTTGGCTACACCTGTTTTAAAGTTTTTTTTGGGGGGTAACAATTGCAAAATCCCATCCAGAAATATAATGAAATCACAATAAACGACTGTAAAAGTTCATTTTAAAGACTGTTATTTGTAAGTTTTTTCCCAGGGAAAGAACAGCAAAGCATGTTCGCTTCAGGACATCCACCACATCGTTTCCACCTTTCATCCAGTCAACTCACCTTCACTTTTTGTTTCTAGGTTTGCTCCGATTTCTCAAAACTTCCCGAGCCGTTCCTTGTCCCTGTTGTTATATCAAAAAATGAAAGAATACCGTTGTGCTGTCACTTTAATTTCTGCCTGTTCCTTATTCTTTTTTCTTTTTTTTGTGTGTGTTTGAACCTACCAAGTTCCCTTTATAGTGAAGTTTCTCTTTGGTCAACACTTTTTTAATTTAGCTTACTATGGACGGTAAAGCATGATCCTGATCCAAGGATCCTTGCATTCTCTATAAATGGACCTGATGTCTTTTTAAAAGCTGTTTCTGCCTCCAGGCCTGAAACATTTCATCTTATCAAATAAAGCTTTAGGAATACGAGCAGTAATCCAGTCAGAGTTTAATCCCTTCAAACTGAATCATTTTAATTTCACAGCAGCTTTTTAGCAGTTTGGGTTAATTGTGTGCCCTTTAAATAGATGTGTCTGAGTGATGTACCAGCATGCCTTGCACAGCCGTGCCGACTCGCATGTTTATGTTTTGAAGACCGTGTGTGTAAAGGGAGGGGAACTCTTGCTCTCTCTCTCTTTCAAAATGTTGCTGTAGCGATGTGTGAGTTAACAATTCTCTTCGCCTGTTTATTTGTGGTTACAAAGATATTTTATTTATTTAAGTTTTTGGTGGTTGCTGTTTATCTGACCTGTATCTCTCTGTGTGCGTCTCTGTGCTCATGTGTGTGTCCATGCATGTAGGTAACGGTGCCAAAGAGGAAACATAAAAGCGACAAGCCCAAGAGCCCTGAGAGCGGCTGCTCGTCACCAGAACCCGACCGACAGGACTCGTCTGGCAGCGAACGTGAGTCACATTGAGTTTGAACAGATGTAAACTGCAACAACCAGAAGACAAATGATTTCGGTTTAAAGCTGGTTATAACAATATTTTAAAATATCTACAATTCTACGACAGTTCTTCTGTTAATTTAGCAGACGCTTTTAACCAGAGCGGGGAAGTTTAGAGAGTAAGATCAACACGATCAAGGATCTAGAGAGGAGGAAACAATGTCAGTCAAACAAACAGCTTTAAGTCCAATCAGACACACAGGTGCTGACAGGAAGTGACCAGAGGCAGAGCACTTTTTTGTGATAATAAAGTTAACATACTGTCATCAACAATACATCTACAGCTGCTCTAATCATCATCAAAATCATTAAGTATGTATCGTTTATGAACACGGGAATGCTTTCTGAAAACCTTTAGCTCGATATTTCTTAAAAATAGCAATATAACTTGGAGCAAACGTACCCGTCTGCTTCAATGTATAACCTAGCTTCTGTGCCTGTATTCTCAAACTGAGCTGAGAGACATCTCTGAGAGGATCTTACTATATGATCAGACATTAAGGAAACATGCTATGTTGAAGTGCTGGCTTCTCTGACAACAATGCAGCAGCCAGTATGTCCTCCTTCTAACTTTAGATTCTGCTCCTGAATGCTCTGGATTTGTTTGGACCAGAGAAGGTAGGCGCTTTTAAGACACCCCCCACACGGCTGTTTTGGACGCCCCTCGGTTTGTCAGATATGAGAGCAGTTATCAGGTCAAACCAACAGGTGTTGCAGCAATGGAAGCGTGTAAGAGAAGTGGTTCAGATAGAAGTGATTGTACCCGACCTAAAAAGCCTCTGCATGTTTCTAATAAGCTCCACGAGCAGAAACGTGCTCAAACTAGGATCAATGTTGGAGATGCTTTTGAAAAATTGAGAGAGGTTAGAACGCAGAAAGGTTTACAGACCCATGCAGAGCTGGATAAACACTGAAGCTTCAGAGTCCACCACATGGTGACCTGCGTGAGCAACAACTCTGGAGGGGGCGAGGGGAGACAGCTCTCTCTGTTTTGAATTTGGACTGCAGTACCCATTGTAAACACTAGGTGTCAGAGTTACATATTGCTCCTTTTGAACACTGTTTGTTGCAGGACACAAAAGTAAACATAACAGCCGGCTGAGGAAAAAAGGAACCGACCTCAGTGAACTTCAAAGTGCCATTGAATCTATAAAGAAGACGCAGGAGGACATTAACAGGTGAGGTTGATCTGTTGGTTTTGTTGAGTCTGATACAATGTCTCCATGTTGATCAGATTCAAATAATCGCTGTGTGTACTTTTTAGGAGCATCAGCGTGCTGCGGAGCCGTGCAGCCGGCCGGGTAGAGGGAGCCTCTTTCCTCCAGCAGCGCGACTACGTCATCATCGTGTTCCTCGTCCTTCTTCAGGTCCTTATCAACTACGTCTTCAAGTAGCAGCCATACACTGCGGAGAGAGTGGTGCCCTCACACACGCACGCACACACACACACACACTCACACCCTCCTGACACACTCTCTGAACATGAGGGAGGGGGGGTCTCAAAGAGGTGAACTTTTACGTCTCGCAATTATCGAGGTCTCGAACTCTCTTCTTCTCTGTCGTTATTTAATCCAACTACACACGTCCAGAAAAGTGGAGCCTGACTTCCATAAAGAGACTTTTTAAAACTAAACTTTTAACCAGTTCATTCCAAAAACTGTGGGGAGATCCGCAGATTTCAAAGAGGAGACGAGCAGCGATAAGGAGGAGAAAGTGGAGGTGTGATAAAGTCTCTTAACTGCCACTCCGGAGCTCACTGATTTGCCTTGATGTAGGGGCAAAGACAGCAGCTGTTTTTTGTTGTTGTTGGTTTTTTTAAAAGCTGTTGTTTGTTTTCTTTTGATTCACATTTCACCTCAAACAACAGGGAACCTTTTAAACACGAGGAGACGAGCGCTACGACTCGGATGGTCACAGACTTTGAAAAAAATAAAAATAACACCACACCTTTAATTTAAATGTTTTTTTTTATTGTTTTGTTTCTTTTTGCTTTGTGTGTCCTTTGTGACTAGAAGTCTGCTTGGAACAAAAAAACAAGCGGCGATAAGGGAGACGGAAACAAAGTGGTCCAATTGATGTGACTTTTATTTTTTTATTATCAGATGACTTTTCTTATCGGCTCGGGGTTTCTACATGTGAAAACGGAAGACGAAGACGAATAACACAAGTGATATATCAAAAGGAACAGAAGCTATAATTTCTGCTGTAAATTCAAATACTTCAACTTTTTGCAGTCGAGTGTTTCAAGAAGACGAGAGAGGTCTGACATGTCCTTGTGCGCCGTAGGTAGCATGTACAGAAAGAGGAGTGTTAGGACCTTTAGCCCCATGTACAGTATTTTGTCTCAAGGCACAAACGCACTGGAAATGTCCGATATTTGTGTTAACAACACAAATTCAGTCATGAATTATATATCAACAGAGCGCCATAAATAACGATATTATGTGGGATTCTTTTCCCCAAGCTTCAGTGACCACTGCCTCAGTTTCAGGTAAAAGAAGTTCAGGTTTTTAATTGACTAAGCAAAGGGACGAACGGCCCTCTTAGACCTAAGAGTACGTTTTAGAAAGAAGTATGCGCGATCACATAAACCCTACCACTCCAAAGTTTGTCCTTACAGCGACTACACTGCAACGACTCAAATCTTAGTAAGTGTATTGTCTGATTGGTAGTCAAAAATATCTAATTGAACTTTTAACAAGCCACATTCACCTGACAAATCCAGATACACGTCTTGTTCCAGGATAGAGCAAGTAGAAAAATAAGGTCTGGATTGCTTGTGATGAGTAAAAAGAAATATCAACCAGTGAAGAAGGCTAAATGTATTTCAGTGTCTTGACTACTTTGGATAGAATTTATCTCATTTGATTTCTGAATTTGTTGATATTTTTTACTCTTCACAAGCATTGTACTGTAGGCTTTACATTTAGCTCTTTATATCTTATCTTAAAATGAAGTGTTTATCTGGACCTGTCGGGTGAATCTGGCTTTTTGAAGAAAAGTAATGAGATATTTTTGACAATAAATTAGACATTTGCTAAGATTTGTAGTTTTTGCAGCTAGTTAGCTTAGCATAATGTCTGAAAAAGACAAAAGAAAAAACGTAGCACATTAGGAGATGACCTCTCAACACTTTAAATCTCGTTTGGATATACAAAGCTCAGCCTCCATCTTTGTTGACGAGTCGCTGGCAGAAACTGAATCAGGTCGCTGTTTGTTGTCCTGAAATACTTTCGTTACAATCAGAGGCTGCCGAAGCGTAATTCTTTCTATCTAACATCGTGCTGTGAAGAAAAAGACTTGACATACATGATTGAGATGGAAAATGTGAATAAATCAAGTGGAGTCATTTTCTCATTGACTTCTATACTATTGGACTTATTTCGCAACCAGTGCAGTTGCCCCCTGCTGGCTGTTATAAGGAATGCAGATTAAAGTCAAAAAGTTTGAACTTTCAAACCAAAAAGCTTCATCCTCTTTTTATGAAGTATAATTTGGACAGAACAAGGCCAGCTGTTTAGAGTTGTTATGCTGTGCTAAGCTAACCAACTGTTTCCTTTACAATAGTACAATTTCACTTAGATCTTTGGCTTCATATTTTCTCAACAAACGATGTGGAATCAATCTCCTGGTCTAACTTAAGGAGGGAAAAAATGAACCAATGTCTGTCCGAAAAAAGTTTTTATCCTTAAAAAATAAGAAAAGTTGTGCAATCATTAATATGAAGCATAAAAGACATGTGACTCCAAGCCATAGCAGAGGAAAGCCTGAACACTCCTGACAGCTGCTGACTGCGCCTCAGTCAGGGCTACTACTTTAAATTCAATCATCACTTCCAGTGCTTTTGCGCCTCAGGTGTTCACCAGGAAAACTAGAATAGAAGCTTTAGTAAGCCACTAGCGGGAGGAGCATATAGACTTTTTCTAATTACTACTATCACCATAGTAAACCATTCCAAATGTACGCCAAGTACCAGCCAAACTCAGTGTGTAGAGTAGGAGTCGGCCCTGTTCACTGTGTAAATAAGGATGGGGCTGACCTGTTCTTCATGAGAAGCTCTCTGCGTTTCAACACCAACAAGGTTTCCACAAAGCGGACACTCCACACTCTGTGCACAAGCCGGTCTTTTTACAGCCTCGTGTGTCTTTCTGTCCACCGCTCTGTAGATACACATGGACATCGGCAGAAAAGTTTAAAATCAAACAACCGGGGTTACACCGTTAGATTCCCATCCAGTCGGTATCAGGAAGTTGCTTTCATTCAGCAGATTTAATGTTCCAATCTGTCGCCTTCTCCTTTGAGGAATTAGGATTTTAGAGAGTTATAAGTCACAGAAACAATGGGCGATATAACAATGTTCAGCAGACTTTAAGCAGGCTTATGAGCATCATGTGACTTATGACAACATACTAGGTTAAAGGAAGTAATGCTCATTATAACAATGAAATAAAAACCTGTCCCATTACACTGTTTATAAGAAGTGGACATAGCCACAGTGACTTTACCTGGAGCCTCAAGTAAGGCCACCATAGAGCCATGAAGGGAACATATTTGGACTTGTTTTGTTCTACTGCAAGACAAAAGAGAAAACAGTAAATCAGAACCGGCTTTATTGTGTTTTTACTCTGAATGGGACTTTAATAAAAAAATAAATAAAAAAAAAGGAACTGTTCAAAAACAAAAGTGATTGAGCCCATATTTTTTAAGGATTTAATTTAACTTGAGGGAATAAATCAAGTGACTCAAGTGTGCTAATTATTGGGCGTATTAAATGCTATGTCGCCCCCTGCTGGCCATTATCAAGACTCCGGCAGTGGCTTAAGTTTGTGTTCCTGAAAAGTTGGTTTATAAAATTAATCGTTCGTCATCATATACCGAAGATAAAGGCGGCATACTGGAACATTTTAAAACATTGATTTGTCTGCTAACAGTTGTTAAGTGACTCCTAACTGAGGCAACGTTAAACTTACTATCAGACCATCATCATGTCACGTCATGATGTCAGCCTTGTCGACGTTTACATATCCGACTGCCTCCGCCGTCAGCAGACTGTTGAGCTATAAAAACATAACCACAGGTGTGAAGAGAGACTTGTAGCGTGGTCAGGAGCCAACTGTACCCCCCCCTCCTCCCCCTCCCCCCACCCCCTCCCCACAAGTAAGTCACCCGGCTGGCCCGTGTGTATCTGTGCGTGTATTTTTGTGTATCCTCATTGCCTCGACCGCTCATCTTAAATCCAGATGTTAGAATGTGGAGAATATATAACAGTGCCTTCTAGAGACGGACCGGGAAGGGGGGTAGATCGAGGTTTTGGTTATGAGGAGGTCGGAAGGGATGTCAGGGGTGTGATGTGGAGCTGAGAAACGTAGAGTACAAGTCTTGAAGTAAAGAAGGGAATGATCTGGAATAAAGGTATTAGACTCGGTCAGGACCTCGGCCCAGTTGTTCAAAAGTTATCAAGTTGGATCAAACCTTGAAAACTAGTTAGGAGAAAAAAGGATAACAAAGTTTTTTATTTGGACAAAACCACCAGTTTGTGTTGTCCAAAACTTTTTGGTTGGATTTGGATGACTTTGATCAAAAGAAATCAGGATTATTCTGATCCCGGCAGAGGTCTGGATTCAGATTTACAGGAACAAAAAGTGTCAAAGTAGAAACGAAGACGTTATGCTTTTAGGAGAAAAATTAAGGATTCTGTCCCCTTAAAATGTTTCACAAAACAGCTTTTAATATCAAACAAAATATTTGATAAAAAGCAGCTGTCTTTATCTGTAAGTGTGTAGATTTGCGCCCCCCTGTGGACAAACTAAGTAGTATGAAGTCACATTTAGACCACTGGATATTCAGATCTTGGAATCTTTAAAAGTCCGATTTTAGCACGTTGATCCTTCCAGTTTTTCTCCTTAAAGATGGTACAAACTTGAGCTGGATGACCTGATAGAATAAAGAGGTAAAATCGCGGTCGTTCTTATCCAGATGAAACTTCTTTGAACAACCTGGCCTTGGACTGAGACCCTTGTAGTGTTTTAGAGCGGACGTGCCATACAAAGCCTTAGAAACAAAGCTCCACAGCTCACCTCCTCATCCAGCTCCTCACCCCTCCTTAAGCGTTGCTATGGCAACTCACCTGTAGGTTGTTTTTTTTTCTGGATGCTGAATCCTGCCACGGGGAGTGAGGGAGAGAGAGGAGAGAGAGACCCCCACTCCTCTTCATATTCGTCTTCCTCCCCCTCTCTCTCTCTCTCCCTCTCTCTCTCACTCTCGCTCTCTCACACACCAAAATTCAGAGGGAAATAAAACATCTCTACTGTCTGTTGTTGTTGCTGTGTCTGTAAAATACTTTTAACATTTTATTTATTCCTCTTTTATATGTGGGTTCATGTTGTTTTCTTTCTGCTTTTAGCGTTCGGTCACTGTTTCTTTTTTTTGTTTTTCAATGCTCACAGTCTGGTTTTTATTACGATCGATGTCACACACAAAGCGACTGTCCTCAACTTGTGCACAATTTCAATGTCAACTCCCCCTCGTCCCCTTTCCCACTCCCCAATTTATCCCCCCCTTAACACACACATCTTTCCTACCCGAGTACCTGAATATATTTACTGTATCTCCATGGACGCTATAACTTCCACATGTAACATAACACAGAATAAAAACAAATGACATCCTGCGCTCTTCTCTGTCTTTAGTGAGGAAAAGACCTTACTCATTGTTCAGAAAAATGGGATAATGCAGGAAGGATTTCTCCTTTGTTTTCCTCATGTTCCTGTTGTCCACACTTCCAGAGGTGGAGGTTGGAGCGGACCAGCAGGAATGAGGACAGCGATGATATAAACATACTACTGTACAAAATGGTGTAACAGCCCGGCTCTTAGGTTGCAACAACTAATGGGAGTCGAAGATGAGATATACCAAATCGATGTTCACAGGGTAGAGAGCGTCTGTCTGGAGAC